TTTAGATATTCCCAGAACACTATTTTGAATTGTCTAAACTAAGCTATAGTAATATATTTATAAATGAATTAATAAAAGTTAATAAAAGAAATGTAGAAATATATATAGTAATATATTTATAAATGAATTAATAAAAGCTAATAACTACTTCAGTTAAATCCTATTGATATTTTGAATTAGATGAAAAATCTGTACATTTAATTAACACATTTTAATCCGTTGGCTGTTTAACTAAATTAATTTTATTTTTGTCACCACTTTTCTGCTATATAAAACCAAATGTTGGGTTTGCCCCAATGAGTCAGAACAAAATCTGATAATAATCAACTGTCTTTACCTTTTTCATGCTTTCTCAAATTAGAGAGCAGGAAATAGAAGAAACTACTAGAAATGTAGTTAGTATGCCATCTAGTGGTTATAAATCTGACCATTTATATTCCAGCCAATTAAATTTCTGGTCAGTTGGTTAGCCAAAATATAATTGGACTAAATCAACTCATGTACAAAATCTAAGAGTCATATTTAAAGAACAAGGACCTTTTAGCACATAAAGATTAACAAATGTACATTTCAGGAGGTATCAGTCGGTGGCATAATTCAATTATTGACATTCAAAGTTCTAAACTAGCACTCTAATATTTGCTTATCGTGAAAGGTGCAAACATGAAAATGAATGAGAAAAGCTTGTTGGAAGTCTTATTCTTTCAAAGTTGGTCTTGGATAGATAGAGATATATAGATATAGATATATATTCATAATTGCAATGTTTTACAGTTTAATAAACAAAACCATTGATTATTAGAAATTTTCTTTCTCATTTCTTGCTATGATTAGATACTAGTATCCACATATCCCTATAGGAATATAACTTACAGTTCTTTTGATTAGCATAGGCATCCATGATTTAATATGAAATCTTGCAGCCTTAGTTAAAACAAATATAATGTACAGTACTTAAACATTTTCTAATGCTTAAAAAAATTCACTAATATTGCCCTGCTTTTGTCCTGTAAGGAGGGTGCAGGTCAGGGGTGAAATTCATCAGGTTCTGACAGGTTCTGGAGAACCGGTAGCGGAAATTTTGAGTAGTTTGGAGAACCAGCAAATACCTCCTCTGGCTGGCCACAGACTGGGGTGGGAATGGAGATTTTGCAATATCCTTCCCCCAGGCGTCGGGAGGGAATGGGGACTTTGCAGTATCCTTCCCCTGGAATGGGGTGGGAATGGAGATTTTTTAGTATCCTTCCCCTGGAATGGGGTGGGAATGGAGATTTTTTAGTATCCTTCCCCTGGAATGGGGTGGGAATGGAGATTTTTTTAGTATCCTTCTCTTGCCACGCCCACCAAGCCACGCCCAAGCCACACCACGCCCAGAGACCCGGTAGTAAAAAAAAAATTGAATTCCACCACTGGTGCAGATGGATAATTGCAATTTGTTCAATGACTGGGAGGGAAGCTTGGAAGCCTTGTCTGTGCAGGATTGCTAGTCTAACTCCTCTGTCACACCAACAGAGTGGAAATTAGGCTTTTATTTTCAAGTCTCAATTCAACTTTCAAGTCTCAATTCAAGCAACTCTTCAGCTCTCAACCTTGAGGGGCAGAATGCATGGTTGCAGGGTCAGGAATATAAATAACCTTTTGCATGCTGTTTTACACCCAATAATATTTGAAGTAAATATAATATTTTAGGAAGTAAGTCTTTGATTTCCAGCATGGTAAAATGCAAAAAGGCAGAGAATGGGAGTAGAAATATCATCGTCATTTTTAACATGTTGTATCTATAGGCAGCTGTGACAGATATTGCTTCTTCGTGCAAGTTCACCCAGCAAGAGTTTAGATTTGAAACGGAGCTTAATCTGCAGTTTACACAGCAGTCGTATTGGATCAGAGGCTGCAGTTTTTGAATACTCCATCATTATTCAATTTTGTGAATTAGAAACTCAAACGGTTCTTGTTTTGAAAAAAAAAATAAAATAAAAAGAAGGGCATTTATGTAGCCTCTCCCACTTCTGGTATTTTTGATTTTGGGATTTCCCAGTGCTGAAAAAACCAATCTCTGAAACTGGTAGGAAAGAAATGGGGAAATTCCCTACTGGATCATCTCCTCTGCAGTCAGCAATTTTCCTCCAGCCTGGGAGATGGAAATGGCATATCCTATAGTCCTTACGTGCCCTTCCGAACTAAAGTCCAGTTTATTTCCCAAATGTGCACACTTGGAATATGATGCAGAAGTTCTTTGAACCTTCCACACAGGACCTCTCTGCCATTCATTTAAGTCACCCAACTTTTTAAGGACTTCTGTAAAAGCATCACTAAATGTCTATGGAAATTCTCAGTCATCCAGATCATGGTTGTCCCAAAGGTGTTTTTTTTTCAAGAGGCAACTGGACTTTCTGGTTTTTTAGAATAGAATAGAATAGAATAGAATAGAATAGAATAGAATAGAATAGAATAGAAATAGAATAGAATAGAATAGAATAGAATAGAATAGAATAACAGAGTTGGAAGGACCTTGGAGGTCTTCTAGTCCAACCCCCTGCTCCAACCCCCTGCTTAGGCAGGAAACCCTACACCACTTCAGACAAATGGTTATTCAATCTCTTCCTAAAAACTTCCAGTGTTGGAGCATTCACAACTTCTGGAGGCAAGTTGTTCCACTGATTAATTGTTCTAACTGTCAGGAAATTTGTCCTTAGTTCTAAGTTGCTTCTTTCCTTGATTAGTTTCCACCCATTGCTCAGGTGCTTTGGAGAATAGCTTGACTCCCTCTTCTTTGTGGCGGCCCCTGTGATATTGGAACACTTTTTTCTTTGAAGATTTTTCTCATCCAAGAAGCTTCTTTGGGATGAAGCACCTTTGGGGTGACTTCTGCAAGAGTTTTGGGCTTGTGTGAAATCCAAAATTTCAAACATTTTTCGAAGTGTGCAGACCCCACTTCATATGCAGTTCAGTGATCAATACTTACAAGTTGTGTCGTGGTAACAAGCACATGCTACTTTTTAAAAAAATATAGAGGTGTCTGGAAATCTATTTCAGTTAGCAGGCTTGCAAATTAGGACTGGGCAAAGGATTTGAAAGAGCTGCTTTGCAAAACACAAGCACGTATACTAATCCGCTTTTCTTCTAATCATTAAAGCAGCTGTGTCTTTTGCAAGACTCAGGTATCGACTTCTAAGTCTGCTTCTAGCTGACTCCACATAGCTGTCTGTCAAAGCACACAGGAGAAATGCAACATATCAATGCCACGACAAATGGGCTTTGATGTTTTTCAGGATGTTTCTTTTGTCATTTTTAATTTAAGTTGTGGGTAGTATCTGATTTCTTTCTTCATGCAACTAAATTCAGCAGGAAATAGTGTTTCTGATATTTGGCAAATTGCTGTTAAATTTGAGTGGAAAGCATTGAGGATAACAAGAAAGAGTTTGGAGCTATTTTCAGCCTCCAGGTTGAAGGGTCAGCCTCTACATAAAAGCATCTAATATTTAAAAGGTGCTTCCCCCCACCCCCAAGAAGTTTCTTCACAACTGAAGAAGCTTTTTGGATGAAAAGCAAAATGTCTTCAAGCAAAAAACAAAGTCCAGTTGTCTTTTTTTAAAAAGCATCTTTGCAACAACCATTACCTGGATGACTGAGAATTTTCACAGACATCTAAAATTTAACATTTTTGCTGAAACAAGAACCAGTTTGGTCCAGTGGCTAAGGCACAGGCTAGAAATAGAAAGACTGTTAGTTCAAGTCCTGCCTTAGGCATGGATGAGTCATTCTCTCACAGGCCAACTCATCTCACAGAGTAATTGTTGTGAGGGAAATACCCTGTTTCCCTCAAAATAAGACATCCCTAATAATAAGTCCAATCGGGCTTTTGAGCACATGGCAATAAGGCCAAGCGCTTATTTCAGGGTTTAAAAAAATATAAGACAGGCTCTTATTTTGGGGAAAACACTGTAGGAGAAGAAAACAGTATTAGATCTTAGCTGCTGTTGTTTATAAAAAATAATAAAGGCAGAATATAAATAAAATAAATAAACCAATCAACAAAGCCACCTATGGAAACCGTTACATGGGTGTCACTTCCTATGAACTGTTATCCCATGCATTTGTTGAAACTGTTTGTGGGATTACAGCCAGCATTTCTGTAATGTATTTTAGCAAAACTTGCCAAAGTGGCAGCAGAGACTGTCAAGGGCATAATTGAGTACTATGCATCATCATGTTCTTTCTTTATTTGGAAAAAAGAAGTTCATTCCAGGGAAGCTGCTTGTCAAGAAAATAACTTTTAACAAGCTACCACAGGCAAACTTTGGAAGGTATTAAAAAAGAAACAACTTTTTCTTGAACATTCAAGTCTTCCAGCAAAAGCTGTGTTCTAAACCTCAAAGAATCCACCGTTCTAGGCCTGTGCTTGAAAGCGAATTTGCCTGTGAGGTAGAAAAATGGCTCTAATTTTGTTTCCAAAGAAGTATTTACGGAGGCGGGGTGACAAGCGGGGTGGTGGGATTAGAGCTTTTAATATTGGCTGGATCTCTCAGAATGGCTCACAGGCACATTTTGGCATTCCTTACACACCCAACAACACTTAAAAGCAGATTCGGTTATCGAAGGAATTAAGAGTTCGTTATTAAATGAAAAATGAAAACTCCAAAAAAAAATCAGAGCTTTAAATTCAGGATTCAGAATACTGTAGGGACAGCAAGTTTTTCAAAAAATAATTCACAAAAGGTTAATTGACCCTTGAGTTTTCTGGTAACTTAGATAAACTGGAAAAGGGGAAAGGTCTTTTATCTCTATTTGAAATCAAGTGGCTGGAAATTTTTTCCCATTCTGAAAATAGCTCCCATCTGACATTGCAGAATGCCATGTACTTCACCCATTCTCCCATCTCTCTTCCTGTTATAACAGTCAGATGCTAAGCCAATTCTTGGCCTTGAAAAATCAGCCTGGCCTTCAGTCATCAAATTATGAATGGAGTTTATTTACACATGTATTCCTTTCTTCTCTAGGTCCGGGTCTTTGTGAATCAACTGTACCGTCCAGATATAGTAAGAGACATCCAACAGAACCCAGATTTGCAAGCTATTCGTATAGCTTCGGTAAATCCCATCTTGGATCCTTGGGTCTACATTCTGCTGCGCAAGACAGTCTTGAGCAAAGCCATTGAGAAGGTCAAGTGTCTTTTCTGTCGCATTGGTGGGGCCCGGCGGCAGCACTCAGGTAACAACTGCAACTGGGCCGATGGTCACCGGACCTCCGTCACAGCAAGCCATTCACCCTCCTTCATCTCCCGAGAGTTGAGGGAGATTAGTAGCACTTCACAGACTCTGCTATACCCGCTGGAGCCAAGTGAAAGGATGGTCGGAGACCGAATGCTGTTACCAGGAACCAGCAGCTGTCTGGCTCAGTCAGACACTACATCTATAAGGACCTTAAGGAGTTCAAACACCTCAGAGTCCTCTCAGGGGCAAGAGTGTGAGAATACCTTTTTGGTGAGTGAACTAAAGCCTAGCGGTAGTAGAACTCCTAAAGGCAACTCCCTTCAAGTCACTTTTCCCAGCGAAACTCTGGACTTGTCAGAGAAGTGTATCTAAGCAGTAGAAAGAAGTTAAGAGACAATTTGGTCCTTAAGTCAAGCGGGTAGGAACTGACACAACAAACATATCAAATGCCCATCTTTGCCATCCATTCTGTTGACCTAAGGCGTACACCTGAAGCTTATCTGGATTTCCTTGTCCTAAGCTTGAGGGTGAAATAGCCATTTAGGGCAAGTTGGACTTGGAAATTTATTTGTTTTAATTTGTATACTGCCCTTCTCCAGCAGAAATGTGCACCAGGCAGGAATCCACGAGAGACGTTGAACTAGCCGCCATCTTGATTTGCACCTCCCTCAACATGGGTTCCAAGATGCAGCTGTTGGATCTTTCCTGTTATGTGATAAGCACAGGTTTCAGCAGGGCTTTATTACCGCTAGAGACTCATCCTCTGCCATCAAACCCTGCCAAAGCAACAAAGGAATGTAATGGTGTCTGAAGTACAGGCTGCTGCTTGTTGCCTTACCTTGCCCTGGGAGATAGGACTGTTTTCACAAAGTTTGTGTTGGAAAAAGTCACCAATCTTCTCCATCTGTACATGACTGAAGCATACTTATTTCGCTCCAAACTCCCCTCTTGGCTTCATAGTTGAGAGAGATTCATTACAAGATAGTTGCCAATGGAGGAACAAACTGGTCCAGTTGTTAAGGAATTGATAAATCTCTCTATTGTGTGAAAAAAAATGTGAATTTTTCTGGCTGAAATGTTGTGACTGACTGTATTTAAGGAATGTATATTCTTCTCTGTGAGAAGGTTAATTATTAATACAAAGTATAGAAAAAATAATATGGTCAGATCCTCCTTTCTTCTTAATGTATGTGGGTTAGATAAATTTTGCATTAGATTTTTCAAATTTGCAGACTCAAGAGGCCAGACTAGAGCTGATTGATAAGACAAGAGCTGAGGAATCTGGAATTACACAGGAAGACGTTTTGATGCCACTATAGGAATAATAAAAGCTTTTTGTTTTTAAAATGCTTCTCATATTTTCTTAAGTCTCTTTTTGAGTCGAGCTTGACTCTTTGTGACTTCATGGACAGAGCTATGGAACTGCACATCCTTAAAAAGAAATAAAAATTATGTGCGGTGAATTTCCCTTCAAAATATAAGTAGTTCCTAGCTAAGCTAATAATGCAGTTCTGTTAACATCTGGTATGTATGGATGCCACACTGAGGCTTTACTCAGAAGTACATTCCACAATTACGGTAACAATTCTTGCTGATTTAGGCACTTCCTTCACATGTGCAAAATCAAAGTCCAAAACATGCATCCATAGTCAACATCCTCTTTGCCTTATTCTAAATGTGTTTGCTCAGAGATATTTCAGAATTTAGTGCAAGAAAGCATCTTAAAAGACCATAATCTAAGGGCTGCCATACGTAGCCAACTGTACGGCCTCTGCTGTTTTTTGTACTTATGGCAACCCCGGTCTATTACAAATGTTAACACATATTCAAATGAGTATCACATCACGCTTTGCATTATCAGTGTCCATATAGGAATTGGCAGCTGTACAATACATGCCATTACCATTCTTGTAAACATCCTGTTAAAAGATTTTTCTTATCTGCTATACAGTCCACTCTATTTATATGACGATATTGTTACGTGAGCAATATTTTTCCATTTATCCTTGTTACGGTTGCAATCAGTCTTCCCCAGCCTGTATGGAACTGATAAAAGATTTGCAAACAACCAAGCTTCATTGGCTGAGAATTCTGGGGGTCGTATATCCGAGGCATCTGGAGGTGGGCTTGCTATAGAAGAAATGGAGAAATGCAGGAAACTCCAAACGTGTTTATTGTGCACACCACTGTGTAAATTATTCTACAGATGGTTGTTGGTCTTTTGTGATTCGGAATGCATGTTGCAATTATCCATTTTCAGTTGTAATGAATTTGGAGCATGAAAAATTACCACACCATTGTTTTTGTGGCCTTTCAGTTATTTCTGACATTTGTTACAGCAAATGTTGTAGTTTGCCCTAATGCTTTTGGAATAATGAAAGACTATGCTCTAAAAACCAATTTAATTGATTTGAGCACTAGAACTGAAAGAAAAAGCAACTATGGTGTGGTCTATTTATTAAAAACAATGACAGGTAAGATTAGGAAAAACATTAGCCTTAAAAGTTTCTCTCCATTAAAAAAAAATCTCTAAAGCCACTGGAAATTTATGTTTTCGAATGCTATGTTCAAAGGATTAGATTGTTGTGTTCCAGTATTATTATCCTGTATTGATGTTCAAGGTCTGGTTTTTGTCAAGGAAAAAGCACGTTGTGTTGCTTATTGTGGTTTTCATGTAAATTGCTTTCCATTGGAAACAGAATTTTGAGCCTGACTTTCAGAGACGGCTTATGAAACTGGCTATCTTGGCACAAACTCCTTTTTTTGGAAATCTTTATTAAATGCAGACATACCCACTGGGTAACGAAGTCGGTGTGAGTCTGTGCCTGCTTACTCATCCTTAACATAACTTCATGGGAAGACCCTCACATATTCATAAACCCAATATACACAATTTCTAAACATTAATTTAGAGGCAGTAAATATAAAATGCCCAGCCCTAAAGATGAGGTAGAAATCAATTACTTAAAGACTTCTGTGTTTCACCCCATAATAAATCCTTATGTCCAGAATTATGTGCTCAGCTGATGACCCAATAGGAATGGGGATTCTTCTTGAGTTATATTAATCAAGCTCATTGAATACAATCATTCTAGACTTTATATATTTACACCAGTGGTGGATTGCTCCCGGTCCGGTCCGGTTCTATAGAACCGGTAGTAAAACTGGCGGGAGGCTCCACCCTCCTGCCACGATGTCATCATGGGTGATCTGCGCATGCGATCCCGCTGCAAACCAGTAGTAAAGGTAAGTGGAACCCACCCCTGATTTACAAATTTTGTTCACACAGGAAAAACACAATAGGCACCAACAGTTTAGGCATGCCGAACATAACCCAACATTAGAAATTAAGAGTAAGATTGATAAAAGACAACAAAAAAAAACAAAAAACAAACCCAACACCCAAAACCCCCCAGTATGTTTGTGTTCTTCATGAAATTATTCAGTAAAGCTACATATTGGGAAAGAATATGATGTGATGTTTCATCCTACTAAACAAATTTTATTACTGGATAGTACAGAACTCAAGATCAACAGAAAAAAGCCTTCATATGCTCAGAAGAGCTTATTCCATGCTGTTTACATTCAACCTGGATCCAATTCCACAAAGTGCTTCAGACCATGCCTGTGTGCAAAGGTAGCCCCAGTCTGCTATTAAAAAGAAGCATCCTTCTCCAGAATATTGATCAGCAGATACACAATCCTGGAGAAAGATACAGCCCATTTAAAGAAAAGTCCTAGAACTGCACACCCACTTGCCGGAATGGGCCAACTCGCCACAGCCAACGCACTGTGGGACAATTTAACAATTCTATTTATTTAAAATAAATTTAAATATATATTTTAATTTTTCCCATTCACCTTTAATTCTGTCTTGCATCTTTTCAATTATTCTATTTCTTTCATATTACTGTAACTCTTGTCCTGCAGCAAATTATCCTGCAGAGAGTTGGCTGCGGCAAGTTAGCCATGACGAGTTAGCCATGGCAAGTTGGCCATGGTGAATTATCAGACTCTCCCACCTGCACACCTATCTGTTCTACCACCTGCTCCAAAAATGCCTTTCTTGGATCAAGTCAAGAGCTACTGCTGTCTTCTGTAAATGCTGTGGCAGCAATTTCATTTTCTAGGTTTTTTTATATAGGATGCAGTACAGGTACATCTCGACTTACGACCAAAATTGAGCTCAAAATTTCTGTTGGTAAGTGAGACAATTGTTAAGTGAATTTTGCCCCATTTTACCACCTTTTTTGCCACAGCTGTTAAGTGAATCACTAGTTATTAAATTAGTAAGTTGCCAAGACTTTGAATTTTGATCATGTGACGATGGGGATACTACAACAGTCAAAAGTGTGAAAACAGTCATAAATCACTTTTTTCACTGGCATTGTAACGTTGAATGGTCACTAAATGAACTGTTGTAAGTCGAGGACTACCTGTACTATATACAGTTAAGATACCATTATTTAAAGTAAATGGAAATTCTGAAATAATATATATATAAATTTCTTCCATGACAAAGGCTTAAACGATTTATGTCCAACTTTTGATTTGTGTGGAAATTTTATGAAAATTACATTTATACAACCTAAACCTGGATGAGGATAAAAGTAAGATAGAAAAACTCACTATCTTCAAACAGTGCTTCAAATGATTATAATCAATTCTGTACAATGTACCAATTGTTCCTGCTGGCCTAATGCTTTAAGAAGTTTATTGAGGCCACCAACAAAGCTTCTGGATTAAACCTAGGAAATGCTATGCATAGAATTTATCTTTAAGAACTAGATAGGAATTGCCAGATTTACCCTAAGAAGCATAATTATACACATACTTTTCTCTCCACTGAATATTCCAGAAAGGCATCAAACATGGATTAAACAAAACTCTAAAGGAGAACAAACTGTCCCTAAAAAGAATGTTTTTGTGGGTTTTTTTTTAACCCCTTTGCATTTCTCTCATCTCGAGTGATGGCTTAGACATATTAATTTATCTACAGCATTTTCATACTGCCCATCCACAGGATTTTAGGTTGAATATCCATCACAAGGGCAAAATGCTAAAAAGTCTGTGACTGTTTCTTTACAGCATGTTATGTTTTATTTTAGGACTGAAACAATCCTTTAAAAAGAGTTTCTAAAATCTGATTGCAATGTTATCCTGCAATAGACGTGTTTAAATAGACACAATTTCAATTATATTATTTTAAATTGCTGTTAGAAATTGCTTCCACTGAAGTTCATCTTTATTTCTTTGATTAAAGATTAATCAGTCTGGGCTTTTTTTAAAAAAAAATTGTTTTGAAGCAGTGGGATTAAGCCCTCGAAACGCAATTGCCCACAGATGTTCTCAACAATATACAGATATACTTCATTTAATATCTACTTGTCCAGTGACTGCGATTATGACAGTGCTGAATTGGGGGGGGGGGCACTTACAAGGGGTTCTAGTAGTTGTGGCTGTTGCAGCGCCCCCCTCCCTCCCTCCCCAGTCATGTAATTGCAATTCAGGCACCTGGTGACCAGTTTGCAATTATGATGTCACAACATCCCTAGGTCACATGATCACCATTTATGAACTTAACGGTGATTTCCACCAACGAAGTCTATGCGGAAGCTGGCAGAAGGTCGCAAATTCTGATCACATGACACATTACGCTACAACTGCACCCAACAGCAGCAACTGGACAGCGGAAACGGCCATCGTAAATCAGCGTGGTCACATGATACCACACTCTATGGATTGTGTAGTTTAGTGATGGAGTTACTGATCCCAATTATCCTCACCAAACAAGGAATACCTGAACCTTAAACGCTGTGAAAATAATCCCTTTTCAAAAATCCGTCGATAGTGGGAAGCATAAAGGCCATCTTATGTATTTTGTTCCGAATGCATGAATACCCAGTATTTTAAAACTGGATTTGGAAAAAAAAAAAACAAGGAGAGTATCTTGCATTCAAAGCAGCATCTGAGAACTACCATCTGAGAGCCACTATATTAAGATAACAGAATGACCTTGACTCAAAAAGACTACGGACTGAAACATGTTCAGCACATTCCGTACCACAACTGTACAAGCATGTGAAGATTTTGCCTCATCCCTTGCTTTGCTTTATCACAGCAAGAACAGATGTTAGTGAATTGCTAGCAAGCTTACAAAGCCATTCCTGTTTTCTAATTTTTGGCAGTATAAACATATACAGACCCAACACTTCCAGTTCCTATTTCAAAGCCACTATTGGCAGACACACACACTGTTCTGTTTTCTTTCTATATTGAACACCAGGTTTCTACAATCATCATCCTCTCTTAACGACCCCATAATCCCTTGCAGGGTGGAGTCTGGGTAACTGAATGAAGCTGAGTGTTTACTGGCCGGATGCCCTTCCTGTCGCCAATGTGGAGTTTTATTCAGCAGATATATTCTCAGTGTGCCCAGAGAGAGAAATATCTGCCTCTACCTAGGATCGAATTCACAGCCTCCTGATTGTGAGGCGAGAGATCCACCTCTAGGCCACCGCACCTCTCGCCAGGTTTCTACAATGGCGATGCCTTTTGGGAGGATTGTACATCATCTTCCATGAACCTCAGCTACCATCCCCATGAACCATGCTAACTGTGGATTGTGGGATTTGTAGGCTGTTGCATTAGGAAGGCACCACATTTGCAAAGGTGTTTGTTGTTCAAAGTAGCATTCAATCTGGGAACAGATAACAGCAATGACATTACTGATGTTCGGTTTTCCAAATTCTGCCTCTTCTGGTCCTACAGTACACATCGCCCCTGGGCCTCCGGAAGTTTAATTTGATGGAATGGGGATCTCCACTGCTCAGATAGGGCTCCAACAGAAGGGAAAGCAAGTAAAACAACAACTAGCAACAGCCACTCCTCAAATTTATGGCTGTTACAGGAAGGGACTGTGTGGATTATCGTGCTTTGATAAACACAGCACCATCGGGGACTGTTGCACACTCCTCTTGTTCAGTTACAGTCTCAACGGTCCCCGAAGCTGATACAATCACTACACTTTTAGAGGTCGAATTGCTTTTTTCTTTTTCAGCAATGGCAGCACACACGGCCAAGATCTCATCGCTTTCAAAATCGTAATCTGGGATTGGCTCCTCCAAAGTTTTTGCCTCAGCCCCCTGTGTTCCTGTCTCCGTTTTGGTTGCTTTTTTCTGTTGTTGTAATTTTTTTGCCCAGGAAAGATCTTCGTTCCACAATTCAGTGTTGAGTGGATAGATGTGCAAGGCAATCTGGAAACTTCGAATAGCCTGAAAAAAACAAGCAGGAAAATACAGCCATTAGCATCTGCCAACCCATCAATACTTTCATGCCTTGAAAGAGTTAAGAGACGTATTAAGGGACTGTATTAAGATCTAATGGGATTATATGGATTCTACTTACACCATGTTTCCCTGAAAATAACACCCTGTCTTTTATATATATAAATATATTACCACTAAAAAAGGCACCACGTCTTATTTTTGGGAGGTGGGAGTTGTCCACTGATTAACCTCACTTGCGCCATCGTTCCCAGCCTCCTTTTCGCTGTCAGAGGCCTTCAGGAACTTCTTCTGCAGCCGGCAAGGTTTTCCTGAAGGCCTCTGCAGGATCAATCCAGAGCTCTGTTACTGGGTGCAGAGGCCTTCAGGAAAACCTTGCAAGCTGCAGAAGAAATGGGCCAGCAAAGCAGGTGTCAGGGTGTGCGAGCACAAAAAGTTGTACAAGATGGCCAAGTTTTGTTTCTCTCAACAAAATATTGCCAGAGATATGTTTCAAAGTTGCTGGAACCTCAGAATCATACTGTAGAAGGCTGCGGTATGGGGTCAAACAAATGCCTGTATCTCCGCAAGTATTGCATCGGCATATGTAACACTTTACCAATGTTCATTGACATGTGTGCACGTTCACACAAAATTTCATCGAAATCCGTGATGGTCAAGCGGGGCACTTTTCTGAAATCAGACCACTTGACATGGAATGACCCAGCTGAATATACTATATTCTGAATATACTATATCTGACTCTCATATACACTAACAACAATGGGCCAAAAAGTGCTATCAGCTTCGTCTCTGTTTGTGGGTTTTCATGAGTAAAACTATAGTTTATGAAAAAGTACATTTATGAAATATACTCAATTAACTGAGGCTCTCCCATAGCACAATGGGAAAAATGGTTTTCATGAGCTCAGCTTGGTTTGTGTATTGGACTCATGGATTAGCAAAGTCCTTTTTTTTTCTAATTTAGTGTGTTGTAAGCACTTGGCATGACATTTTCTTTTTTTATAAATACAATTCTTATTGAGATTTTCTTTACAATGTGGAAGTATTTTGAACATTTCTCCTTCCACAATAAAATGTAACAAATATTTTCAGATATATAACATTATGTCCTCTTTACCATCTAGGTAGTTATCAAAAATAGCCTCTCAGTTATTTGCTGAAACCAGTGTGTTTATGAAAAATCTTTATCTTAGTCTCACTCGTTATTCATTTTTGGAATTTTAAGTATGCTTGACTTTATATTATTCGTCAAAAAGTTTGAGAAATCTTTTAGCCTTTCGCAATCTGATAGAACTATGAAAACATTAATACCAGCAAGAGTTCCTTGTTCAGTATCATTAAAAAAACACAGAATTGTAGAATACGTTTTTGGCTAAACATTGGCTGAACGTTATCATCAGTTACTTCTTAAACCATTTCAACTGAAAATGGAGCAGCAAGGTATCTTTTAATCCAGGCATTGGAAGTAGAATTTCGTTTTGCCTATTCCTGCTACCTTGGTTTTCATCATTATGTTTTTATTGATTTTTCTTTCTGTCAGCAATTTGGCAATTCTCATAATTCCCTAATATCAGGGTTATCTGATCACCAGATTCCCACGGCTCAGATACCATCAGTTGTTAAAACTTATTTAGTACCTTGCAATTTAAGTCTGGCTAACGAAGTCTGACTGCTGTTATTTATCAAAAACTTTCTGCCCAACAAAATCCCCCACTCTTCCTGAACAGATCACATTTTGCATAGGAATTAACATCTGCCTAATATGATGCAATAAATGTGACTTAGCTGATGCTGATAAATTAGCAATGGACCCATGAACATAGACAGCCTAAACAACACGTTCTATTCAAAATCATAACAGAAGTTGCTTAACTAGGTGCTTATGAACTTAAGACGGTGTAACTCAGATTTCAGGACATGTTGCTAAACCTTTGTGAACTCACTGCTAACTGCAATGTTGATTTTGCTGATGTTTCTATATTTATTAGAGTATAATGCTAACACAGCACAGCATAGCAAGCCTGTAGTTCTTCAAATATTACTAGAACTTTGGACTCCTTGTTGTGATCTATCTCTCTGACCTAAATGGATGGTTGAGAGAGAAAAGAGGACATTCTAGCCTTGAGGTAGGCCTGATTGGGCTAGTGAAGCCCAGGTAGAAGCTCAGAGGTGAAGAAGATTAAAGAAACAGCAGCTGAGCCTAAAGATTGCTACTAACTAGATCAGGGCCACATGTGGCTCTTTCATCCCTCTGCTGCGGCTCCTTGTTGCTGGTCAGCTCCACAATTGATAGGGCTTTCGGTTAGGACAGGTAGAGGAAAAAGGATGCCGTGCGAGGAGGCGACTCTATGGTGGGGGAACCGACTTCCGGTCAACAGAGGAAAAAGGACGCCATGCTAGGAGGAGACTATGATGTGGGAACTGGACTTCCGGTCGGCTCCAGAATTGAACGGGGGCTTCCGGTTGGGACCTTTGTGGCTCTTTTAAGGTTGCCGACCCCTGAACTAGACAAACAGATTCTATGAAAAATACCCCGGATATATATATATAAAAAGAGAGCCTGACATGGTTCTGATTCTTGTAGGCCTTCTGCTGAAAGGATCATAAATCCTCCTGTCTGGATTACTGTTGAAGAGCATTCAGAAGCTTCAGCTGGTGCAGAATGCAACTGCAAGGTTGGAAATGGTGTTGGTTACTACCACAGCTTCATGAGTTGCATTCATGGCCAGATGCAATTCAAGGTACTGGCAGTCATCTTTAAAGACCTTCCTAGCTTGGGTTCAGTTACCTTCTCCCAGTCATTTGTACCCTTTGCAATCCAATCTGGCAGGATGGGCATGTTCCAGGTCCCATCAGCCAAGGAATATCACCTGGCGGGGACTAGGAGCTGTGCCTTTCCTGCGATAGTGCCTGCTCTCTGGAACATTCTCCTTTTAGATATTTGGATGGCCAAACTCTACAGCAGGGGTGTCAAACTCAATTTCATTGAGGGTTGCATCAGGGTTGTGTTTGACCTTGGGGGTGAGGGTGGCCAGGTTGACGTCACTCGTGTCGGGGTGACGTCACGTCACTATGGTGGCCTGAGTGCTCTGCCAGTGAAACTGGCTCCCGAGCTCCATTTTTGGGTGCGACACCCTCCTGCAACCTTCTGCCAGCAAAAACAGAGCTCGGAAGGGGGGGGGCACACGCAGCCCACACAAGTTCTGTTTTCAGCTGGGATACCCTCCTGCAACCCTCTGCCAGCAAAAACGCGGCACTCCCAACTCCGTTTTTGCTGGCAGAGGCACCCCGGGCCAGTCCTTCGCTGTTTGCAGGGCAGCCCCACGGGCCAGATCTAAGCACATCGTGGGCTACAGGCTTTTTGGAAGGTCTTGAAAAACCTGGTTATGTGCCAGGTCTGGGGTCTCAAGTGAGTGAACCCTGGTTCCTGGTTAACATCTATGAATTATAGTATTTGTTCATACACACACACACACACACGTATTCTTTTTTATTGTTATTGTAAATTGGTTTTTAATTCATTTTGTGATTGCTTGCTGCCCAGAGTCACTTGTTTGAGATGGGCAGCCATACAAATTAAATGAATGAGTGCATGAATAAATGAATGCAAATCTAGGCTGTAGTATTTCATACACATTTCTCTTGTGGCAGAGATGCCTGATTGAGTAGATCGTGAAACCTTTGGGCCAGGCTTTTAAACTGTAGCTTTTAAACTATAGTTGCTAAACACATTTCCTCAATTCACCACCATTATCAAAAATCCTGTCTTCAAAGGTCACATCGATACCTAAAGATCCTTGCGAAATATAAATACACTGTAGATTTACTAATGCAGCAATACTAGTTACAGGCAATAAGGCAGCAATTTTCATAAATGAAAACAAATACCCTCAATCTCTCACTTCATATTGGAACACAAATACACTATTTACATTCAAATAACTTCAAATAATTTTCAAAAATTAACATTCAAAAATTCAAATAATTTTTTTATAAACCTACTAAAAGATTCAACTCACACTGGATTTCATACCCAGAGATTATATGTCTGACTATATATGAAGATCCCAGTATTCCTACTTGAAAGCATGGGAGTGACTGAAATACTCCACTGCTTCATTTCATACAAAGAAAATCTCCTTAATTTTAAGGCTGCAGCAGAAAAAGGCATGGTGTTTTCCATGTGAAGTCAAAACGAAACTTTTACAAAAGTTGCAATGGAAACTTTTCTAGAGCAAGAGAAATGAGGATACCAGAAGAAAATATTCAGAGGAAAATAGTGTAGAGAAACTACGGGGGGAAAAAATAAAACCACTAGAAATACCATGTGAAGGATACTAGCAAAGTAATTCAATATATGGTCATTAAACTGTCAGGGTGACTCAGAGGTGACTCAGAATATAAGTAATTAGGAATAGATGCAAGAAGCCTCTTTTTATAATGAAATTAAATTTTTGTACTGAAAAAAGCTTAACCAAAACTTTGTTTAAAACTTCCTCTCTGTTCTGGTCAAAATGAACATTTAAATGTACAAATGCAGAAAGCAGAAAGCATTGGTAACTTGGGGATACATTTGTGAACACTTGATCATTTCTCTACATTAGGTAGTCAAATAGAAAAACTTTCATGAAAATTTCATTTCATGAAAGAAATGAAAAGAACATGTAACAAATGAACGTGAGCAACGTTGAGAAATCTGCCTTTCCATTTCTCACATGAATGTTTGCCAGATTAACCATGAGTGAGAGGGTGCATACTTGTATGGTCAGTGAAAAATCATGTTTTATGTGTTTCCTTGTATAACTGAACTATGAAGCAGAATCCTTTGCAACATTCAGATCTTCCAGAATGGATGCTTTGGGTGGTCCAGAAATTAAGTGGGTATAGGAGCAATTTCCGGAAGGCAGGAAGTTTGAAAACCGTAATGTTAAATTAAGAGCAAATTAGCAACCATTTGGGAGGAATTCAAAGTTAATAAATTCTAGGATTACAACCAAATTCCTAATATAATTGGGTTGCAGTCCAGCTGGAATTCTGCATGCAGTCTCTTTCACAATCAAGCTAGATTAAGAAAAAGTTCCAGGAAATCTTACAAGACTTGAAAACTAAAGTGAGATACCGCAGATTAACTAATGGTATTTTAGCTATTGGGGGCAATATGTTGACTCTGTAAACTGCTTAGAAAGGCTGTAAAGCGGTATATAAGTCTAAGTGCTATTGCTATCACAACATTTATCTAATCCCTTGCACACGCATTATAGATGCAAGAAGGAACAACTAACTGTAGCTTCCATAGGTTTTTGTGTTTGATGAAAATATGGAGGCAGTCCTCGACGTTTGACCACAACTGAGCCCAAAATTTGCTAAGTGAGACAGATGTTGAGTGAGTTTTGCCCGACTTTATGACCTTTCTTGCCATAGTTGTTAAGCGAATCACTGCAATTGTTAAGTTAGTAACCCGGTTAGTAAGTAAATCTGGCTTCTCCATTGACTTTGCTTATCAGAAGGTCACAAAAGGTGATCGCATGACCCCAGGACACTGCAACTGTCATAAACATAAGTCAGTTGCCAAGTGTTTGAATTTTGATTACATGATTGCATGCAATGCTGCAACAGTCGTAAGTGTGAAAAACAGACAAAGTCATTTTTTTCAGTGTCATTGTAACTTCAAACTAGGAGTTCACTAAATGAACTATTGTTAAGTTGACGACGATCTGTATATAAAATAACTTTCCAGAAGTTGGAAACTACAGGTAGATCTTGCTCAACAAATGCTTGATTTGGAACTTAGGAAGGTTCTAGAACAGTGGTCACCAACTGGTGGTCCGTGAGAAAATTTTGGTGGTCCGCAGCGCACCCGGGTGGAGGAGTTGCTCTGGGATGACCAATGGGCAGTCCCGTGACTAGAGCTCTGGAATATAGGACTGGTCAGGCAGCTCATGGTGGGCCTGTAAATCTCCACTGTAAATGGAGGTTCGTGCAACTTGTAACTTTGCAGCACAGCCCTCGCCAGCCAGAATGATGTAATGGTGCAAGGGGAGGTGGCGGTGCAGGCGGGCCGAAGCAACAGGTGGCGGGAATCCCGGGCTGTTTCTTCCCCCTGCTGTAGCTTCCTGTCGGCTGAACCCACCAGTGGCTGTCCCCACCTCTCGCCCTCCCTTCCCAGGCACTCCTCGCCTGGCCTGAAAAGGGAAGGGTGGGGGATGGAGATTCGCTCCATATTCTAGAGGGGGAGCGAAGCTTCATCTCTTGCTGGATCTCGCAGCCGTTTCTTCCGCCCCTTGTTGGTGCTCCACGCACCTTGGTCTCTCGGGGAGATGCTTGACTTCTTCTCAGCCCCAAGACACTGGCTGGCCCATGAGATGAGAGGGAGAAAGAGAATGAGAGAGAGAATGAAAGAGAGAGACAGCGAGAGAGAATGAAAGAGAGAGAATGAGAGAGAATGAGAATCAGAATGAAAGAGAATGAGAGAGAGAGAAAGAGACAGAGAATGAAAGAGAGAGAGAGACAGAATGAAAGAGAGAACCAGAAAGAGAGAGAATCAGAATGAGAGAGAGAGAGACTGGGAAAAGAGAGATGAGAGAAAGGATTATAGAGTGGGAGAGAGCGAGAAAGAGAGAGGGGGGAGAGAGAGAGAGAATGAGAGAGAAAGAGGGGGGGGGGGAGAGAGAGAGAAAGAGAGAGGAGGGAGAGTGCCTAAAGGACCCCATCCTATCACTGGGAGTTCAGGTGCTTCAGCAAGCGGCGTGCTGGATTCGTATTAGTGTTCCGTGGAATTTAAAATTATGAACTTGGTGGTCCCTGAGGTCCAAAAGGTTGGGGACCCCTGCTCTAGAATTCAGTATTGGACCTGTCCACTTCCTGAAGGTCAACAAATAGAGATCCCAAATAACATTGCAAGATTTCATCTCAGCACCTCTGTCCAACTAGGTTCCAGCTCTGACAGAATATCAGTGGTTTTATTCTACAATTAACTTTTCAAATTTCTCTGAAATGATATAGGTTCTCTTGCTTGAGCAGGAGGCTGGACTAGAAGACCTCCAAGGTTCTGTTCTGTTCTGTTGTTCTGTTCTGTTGTGTTGTGTTCTGTTGTGTTGTGTTCTAGTCTAGTCTAGTCTAGTCTAGTCTAGTCTAGTCTAGTCTAGTCTAGTCTAGTCTAGTCTAGTCTAGTCATCACATCACATCGGCCAACCAATGTTCTTCCAGGATTAGAAACCTATTCCCTATAACCAGGATTAGAAACTTTAAACCACACTGGAGCAAGACGCTATTCAGGAGAAATCTTTTCACATGCTCTTTTTGGTCCTACATTCCAGAATTTGACCAGGTACTCAACCAAACTATTTGCTAGTCCATTGGGAAAATCATAAATGCCCTATGAAAACGAGCTGGTCACATCAGGTACCTGGGGAGGACCAAGTATGAGTCTTTCCTCTCTGCAGTGGCACAGAAAGCTCCAGATACTAGACTGGTCTGACTACAATAGGACAGCTGGCAATATACTCCACTTCCAGGTCCCAATTCTCCTGGTTTTAAGATAAAAACCGAATCTATTCCACCCTATGTATAACAGGTCCACGAAGATCTAGAACAAGCCCATGGTTATCATTGTGTCTATGAAATAATTAATTACCTCTGACCAGGGGTAAAATCCAGCAGGTTCTGACAGGTTCTGGAGAACCGATAGTGGAAATTTTGAGCAGTTCGGAGAACCGGCAGTTCGGAGAACTGGCACCCCACTCTGGCTGGCCCCAGAGTGGGGTGGGAATGGAGATTTTGCAATAAACTTCCCCCAGGAGTGGGGAGGGAATGGGGATTTTGCATTATCCTTCCCTTGCCACGCCCAAGCCATGCCCATCAAGCCACGCCCATAGAACCAGTAGTAAAAAAATTTGGATTTCACCACTACCTCTAACTCTCTCCTCTTTACAGCAATTTGTGTAATTTCCTGAAGCAATGGTTGTTGAACAGGTGTATAAATGGCTGTCAAAAGTACTACCAAATTCTGTGTTTATACGTACCAACGTGATTTCTCCTAATCCAAGTTGGGCCCGCCCCAGCGTTTGCCATGCTTCCCAAGAATGGGGATCTCTCTGGACAGCCATTTCTGCTGCCTGCACTGCAGGAAACATTTCATGCAGAGACATCAAAACCTAAATAGAAAGAGGGAGTGGGGGGGGGAGAGAAAGACTTAAACTAGCTTCAGACATTGTTTTTCTTCTTTTATTTATTCACATTTCAAAGCTTCCCAACAATTTTGGATGAGTTATAATTTTTTTAAAAAAATGAAAAAGAAAATGGTCAACCAGAAGAATATATCTTGTATAACACTGGAGAGATTAATAACAGAATGACCTACACTTCTAGGTGAAAACATAGTGAGAAAAATTACAGGGGACCCTGAGAGTATTTTTAAGATTCATAAAATCAAAAACTGTCAATTTAAATCTGAATTTTAAAATCTATGTAATAGCAGTAACACTTAAGACATATATAGTGCTCCATAGTGCTTTACAGCATCTTCAGAACAGTTTAAAATGTCACATATTGCCCCCAACAATCTGGGTCCTCATTTTACCGACCCTGGAAGGATGGAAGGCTGAGTCAACTTTGAGCCAGTCAGGATCAAACTCCAGGCTGTGGGCAGAGTCAGCCTGCAATTCTAACCACTGTACACCACGACTCCTTGATGCTTCACTTTTTTAAAAGTGAGCTCAATTAAGAGTGAAATATCATCATCATTTTAGCCATTGTCTATCGACTGCTGGATAAAGGCCTTTTCCGCATGTTCCCAACCAATACGGTTCTGAGTTTTTCTGCTTTTTTTTCCAATTGGAGCCGCAATACGCAATCCATCTTGTTTCATGGACCCTTTTTATCAAGTGGATCCATTCTATGACTGCCTTGGTCCACCTGCCATCAGTACTTCTTGCTATGTGACCAGCCCATTTCCATTACTCTTGATGTTATTGTATACTTTCACTTGTTCTGTTAATTCATGTGCAGGTCTTTCTATCTTGTCTTGTGATGCCAAGCATGTATCTTACTATGGCTCTTTGCGCCGTGTGTGTGTGTGTGTGTGTGTGTGTATGTGTGTGTGTGTGTGAGAGAGAGAGAGAGAGAGAGAAGGAGAGAGAGAGAGAGAGAGAGAGAGAGAGAGAGAGAGAGAGAGAGAGAGAGAGAGAGAGAGAGAGAGAGAAACCAGCAGGGAAGGTCACAAGTCACTCTGATAAATTGCATTCACTCTCAGAGCTTTTTACACATAAACAATGGAATGGAATGGAATGGAATGGAAGGGAAGGGAAGGGAAGGGAAGGGAAGGGAAGGGAAGGGAAGGGAAGGGAAGAGAAGAGAAGAGAAGAGAAGAGAAGAGAAGAGAAGAGAAGAGAATTCTTTATTAGCCAAGTGTGATTGGACACACAAGGAATTTGTCTTTGGTGCATATCTAAAAATATTTAAAGCACATGTACCTGCAAACCCAGAAGCCACCCCTGCTAGGCTCAAGTTGTGCCATGCATTCACATACCCTCTTCCCACTCTGCAACAGCCACTTTTATCTGCCCATTGATTTGCTTGTGAGCCCTTGTGCTGCCTTCCCCGTGGATTTTGCTTACTGCAAGCTGGCAGGAAGTTGTAAGGAAGTCCTTGCTTAAGTCCCATGATCCTTGCTTAACAATGACAATAGCGAGTGCCAGGATTGCTGTTACTAAGAAATGAAGTCATGTGACATCATACTTTATGACTGCATTGCTTACGATGGAAATTCTGGTCCCGATTGCCGTCATAATCCAAGAACTGCCTGCCCTCTAGTGTCACTACTGACAAACCCATGCAACTAGAAGATGCCTAGGTTGGAAAGTGCAATTCTATTTAACCCTGTCTTAAAATTTATGAAGCAAAACTATAGCAATTCCTTTCTATCTAAATTCTGAATTTGCACATTTTTTCATCAAGAAATGTATCAGTATTGTGCAGTCACTTGTTACAGTATTACAGACAATACAACAATTCTAGAACCGGAAGGTTGTTCTAGGCATTTCATGCCTGGCTCTAGAAACATCATTTTTTGGTTTCATGGAAATAGCCAACAAAGCTAAGCTAAATTATTCCAACTGTCTATCAATTTTGAATTGTATAATATGCTCAGCTTTCAAATTATGAGTGTTAGCACCTGGCTTGATCCATTTCCAACTGGCGCAAAAGTATATCGATCCATCAGAAATCAGCATCTTTTATTTCTATTTTTTAAAAAAGGACCAAAAAAAGAGAGAAAAGAATCAGATGCAAATTCTGTTTGTTCTCATCTCATCCAACAATCAAGTAGAAAAATCTGGACATATGCTTGGAATGCTTGAGGCTTGCAAAGCATGTGCCTTGGCAGATCTAATCTCTCCTGAGTCATTAATGTCTATTAATTCTTCTCATGTGATGTTGGGAAATGGGAACAAATGGGAACAATTACAGGATGCTGCTGGTTGTAAAAATGCGATGTGGGAAGCTCCTTCAGGTCCTTTGTTTGTACATCCTCCAAATCAGAACAATAAATCCGAATTGCCCTCCTGTGCATTGTACCCACGATGGAAATTGTGGACAGCATCTGTAATAATAAACCCTCCTCTGGTCCTTCACCTTTCATTGCAGGTTGTTTGCTCCATGACACAGATGCTACTGTTGACACAGAGCGTTTCGTTTTAATCTTTCACACAACAGCTGGTGGATTTAAGGTTGCCCACTAATGAGAGACAACTTGCTTAGTTCACTATTTGACTTTTAAAGTACTACTATATTAACATTGGAGCCCGCCCTCGGATGAAGAAAAAAGCCATCGCAGAATTCTTCTCAGAGATATGCAAATATATACATGCATTATTAAAAACTCCCTAAGATTATGGACAACTTAAAAGTTTTTCTATGAGTCATTTATAGAGCACTTATCAAAGCAGGGAGAATCCAAGAGCCTTTTTTTTTTTTTTTAATTTTTACAAAAATAACACACGAGTCAGGCATGGTGTGGTTAGAAAGACAGAACAGTCACGTAGAACGTGCGATGTGCCTCTTTGGATTGCAGCCATAAGCATCATAATTTAAACGCAGACTGGCTTTTGATGTTCCAAAGCAACAACGTGGAACAAACACAAATCGCCTTTCTTCTGCTACAGCATTCCGAAGGCTATAAATGGATATATAAATACAGGTAGTCCTTGACTTACAACAGTTCGTTTAGTTGAACAGTTGTTCAAAGTTACAATAGCACTGAAAAATGTGACTTAATGAGAGTTTTTTTTTCCACAGTTACGGCCTTTGCAGCATCCCCATGATCAAAATTCAGATGCCTGCCAACTGGTTCATGTTTATGACCGTTCCTGGGTCCCAAGGTCATGGGATCTCCCCTTTTCCAACCTTCTCACAAGCAAAGTCAATGCGAAAGCCAAGTTCACTTAACAACCAGGTTCACTAACTGCAGTGATTCACTTAACAACTGTGGCAAGAAAGACCCTAAAATGGGGCAAAACTCACTTAACACGTGTCTCGCTTAACAACAGAAATCTGGGACTCAATTGCGGTTGTAAGTCAAGGACTACCTGTATTTCCTTTTTGTTCTCGAAAGTTCTTCTACAAATTGTATGGGTTGCACATCTCTTACAGTTAAGTCCTCAATTTACAAACGCAACTGAACCCAATGTTTCCATTGCTAAGCAGTTCAGTGAGTCACACCCCATTTTACTTTTGTCTTGTGACTTTTTGTCACAACTTTTAAGTGAATCGTGGGCCCTTTAAATAAATCTGGTGTCCCTTATTGTCTTTGCTCATCAAAAGCCAGCTAGGAAGGTTGCAAATTGCATGACCCCCTCCTGGGACAATGCAACTGTCATGAATACATGCCAGCTGGCAAGCACCTGAATTTTGACCATATGACGATGGGGATGCTGCAATGGTTGTATGAGAACTGGTCATAAGTCCTAAATCGAGGACTATCTATATGGCAGAAAAAGAACATTTTCCATTTTCTGAGGTTGAGCTGCAGCAGTGATTCAGTATAGTGCTGGTTTCACCCTCCTACATCTACTCTTTTGAAGGGTCCCATCAAGAACTTTTTCGTGAAGTACAGGGAAGAGATGCCTCAAAGTGTCTATGGAGAATCTCAGTCATCCAGGTCATGGTTGTCCCAAAGGTGCTTTTTCAGGACTTTCTTTTTCCTTGAAGATGTTTCGCTTCTCATCTCATTCTCCAGTTCTTCAGAAGCTTCTTGGATGAGAAGCGAAACGTCTTCAAGGAAACATGAAGAAAGTCCAGTTGTCTCTTGAAAAAGCACCTTTGGAAGATGCCTCAAAGCAAATCATCTTCCCACTGTTTTCCTTTAGAAGCAGTGCACAGCTCATTCATACCTGGATCCAATGCTATGGATAAGAAGAAAAGGCTGAACTGAGCTAAGACCAGATGTTTTGGCAATAGTTTCTCCCAACTTGGTACTGTCAGGTTTCGATGCTATCTCAAAATAAATGAACTTCCAGACTGCCAATCTTTAAGGAAATTTTCTCTTTATTCGAGCACAGCAACCTGATCCTGACTCTTCGCGGTCAATACTGACCTTTGCCTCCCCAATCCCTCCCTTTCCGATCCCCAATTCTCTGCTTCTCATTGGCTATCTTCTAAGTCACTCTCTTTTTCGTCAGTTCACAGGAATGTTTCCCCCCTCCTCATCTCCGAGGAGACCGAATCTTCAAAGGGATTTAGCAGGCAAAAGTTCAGGCTTCATCCTCCCTTTTCTATGTCAGTGCTGAGACGCTGACAGGTACTTTCTATAGGTTATAGGTACTATAGGTACTTTCTATAGGTTCTATAGGTTATACTATGATTCTTTTCTAGGACTTTGCCTTTACTCATTTGAAGCCATGAAGGATACTCATGTTCCCCCTTGTTTTCTTGTTTCTTCATTGGTTGGGAAGCAATTCTTTCCATACTTGGGAGTCTTATGCTAGTTTATACACATGCCTGTAGGGTCTTTGATTAATATTTCAAATAAAATAAATTTAACCTTGTGGCTCTTGCTCTTGGCTCATTTGAATACAAATGGGTGGTGACTTGTTGTAACCTGCTGGTTGGAACTAATAAATGATTATTTGGATCTTCTGCAGTTGGTACTTTCTGGGTGAGTTTCCTACTGTAGCAACAATACTTGAATTTCCCATTCGTTGTGGGCAATTACATGGGCAGATAGCTATATTAGATGAAATTCAATACATTTAAAAGACAGTAGACTGGGATTTAATGATCCAACAGCTAGGCTTTTCCTTACAAAGCTGTAAGATAACACCTTCTAAGTCTGTATCTATATGTTTTGAGTGAACTATCCATAGCTGTAAATAGTTTCAGCTTGCCTTTTAAGCACACAGTTAGCAGAAGATCTAAATTTGTCTCTGCTGAATATCTTTAGGACATTCACTTGGAAGATGGGGGAGAAGAAACACAAGAGTGGAAAGCTTTAGAACAATATAAAATAGTAAGGATATACCATATTTTCCGGCGTATAAGACGACTTTTTAACACATGAAAATCTTCTCAAAAGTCGGGGGTCGTCTTATACGCCGGGTGTAGTTCTCCTGTAACCAGGCAGACCAGCCCGAAAGGCTCTGATGAGCCTTAAATGGCTCTGGCGATCCCAGCTCTGACAATCCCAGCTGAGTTCCCTGCAACTCAGCTGGGATGGCCAGAAACCACGTGAAAGGAAAAAAGTTTTTTCCCTTTTACTCTGTGGATCCCAGCTCTGACGATCCCAGCTGAGTTCCCTGCAACTCAGCTGGGATCGCCAGAAACCACGTAAAAGGGAAAAAGTTTTTTACCTTTTACTCTGAGGATCCCAGCTCTGAGGATCCCAGCTGAGTTCCCTGCAACTCAGCTGGGATGGCCAGAGCCATGTAAAAGGGAAAAAGTTTTCCCCCTCCAGCTTGCTTACCTCAGCTGCTAGTCGCAACGCTTGCCTTGCTTTGCTTGCCTGAATCTATTCAGGCAAGCAAGCAACTCCCTGCCTGCAATCAAGCAAGGAGTTAGTTGTGGACTTCAACTCCCAGAATTCCTCAGCCAGCAAAGCAAAGCTGGCTGAGGAATTCTGGGAGTTGAAGTCTACAAGTCTTAAAGTTGCCAAGGTTGGAGACCCCTGTTCTATTGGGTAAGTTTTTTTCCTCTTTGGGAGCTTTAAAAAAAATAGTCAATTGGGGTTTTTTTAGTTGTTCTTTTTTAGACCTAGCCATTTAAAGTTTAGGAAGTTTTAAATTTAGCTTTCATATAAAAATAAAAATAAAATAAAATAAAATAATATTTGTGCAGCTTTCTGAGATTTAGTGTGTTTCTGTAGTGTTTCACTCCAACTACACAAACACACAAAATCTCACAAAGCTGTATGTGGAATTTTGTGTGTGTAAAGTGTGAAAGTTGGTTTTTTGGACTTTTTGTGGCTGTGTGAGGTTCCTGCTTGTTGCAGGGGCCATTTTGGGTCTAGCACAGCTGCTTTTACATTGTGGGTGAGCCAGTTGTGTTGTGTTGTGTGTGTTTAGAGTGTGAAAGTTTTTTGGGGGGGCTTTTTGTGGCTGTGTGAGGTTCCTGCTTGTTACAGGGGCCATTTTGGGTCTAGCACAGCTGCTTTTACATTGTAGGTGAGCCAGTTGATGTTTTTTAATTTTTATTTGGTGTGCATTGGAAGAGGGGCAGTCTTATATGGCGAGTATAGCCCAAACCCTATATTTTAACAGGAAAAGTTGGGAGTCGTCTTATACGCCCAGTCGTCTTATACGCCGGAAAATACGGTATTTTTGTTTCAGACTGGGATTATTACTGATTTTAGGGGAAAAGATAAGTTGCATTCTATTGCAAAGAAACGATCCAAGTATTACCTGTGATTTCATCTCATACAGAGTGGCATCTTCAGGAGTTAACTGAAGTGCTTCGTCCCATTTGTGAAGAGCTTCCTGGTACCTGCAAATTGTTAAGAAGTAATTTATTCTTAATAAATGTATGAATATTTTAAAGGTTGGCACCTTGATCATTGTGCCAAATATGTTTTTAACAGTGATGTATTTGCGGAGATATCTCCTAAAGCAATGCTTCTCAACCTTGGCAATTTTAATATGCCTGGACTTCAATCCCTAGTCAGAGTATTCTGGGAATTGAAGTCCAGATATCTTAAAAGTTACTAACATTGAGGAACACTGTCCTAAACAGTACACATTTGTTGCATAAATTCATTAATAGGTGCTTTTTTTCTGCATTCCCATTCTTATCACAGAAATCTAAACCAACGCTAGTACTGAAATATAATCAGATATTTTTGCAGCATGCTCTGAGGATCTAAAGCCTTAGATGCATACTAGATGTACAGTCTATATCACGTATATGTACAGCCATTATATGAGCTGTACTTTTGCTTATCCCAAAGGTTTAGTTTTTCCTAACTTGGAAAAAAAAATTAACAAAGAAATATTCATTTTTAACATGCAGTTAATCTGAAGCTAAGCATTACATGTTTAGAATTGTAAACGTGCACCTGTATGATATCTGTCATAAAGAGAAGAATCCTGTGAGATAAATAGCTTTACTGTAGACTGTGAATTCTCTACCCAAAAGGTACAAGAACTAGTAGGATCTGCACGTGGGAAAATATGTTGTCCGGGAAAATAGCAATTCAACTAAATTCCCTAGCTTCAAGCCATAACATTAAACAGAAGACTGATGACTTAGCATTCTTCAAAACTTGGCAACAAACTTATGCTTCTGTAATACTGCAATATCTTTAACATTTTGAAAGCATTCCTCACAACTTTCTGCTGCAGTAGTGTAAATCAAATCAATTTATAGTACCATCTTAATATTCTGAGAACATCATTTATTTTAAAAGAAACATCTAACATGAGTAATGACACACTTCAATAATAATCAGTATCTTTTGAAATGGGCTTCCTGGTTTTTTTTAAAGTTTATTTTTAATAAGCAATATAACTTTTTTAGTTTTAACTATCTGCTTATCTTACATGAGCTGTGTTAAATGTCTAAATGTGATCTCAGTAATTTTTTAAAAATACAAATGCATAGGACCCAGGGGAGATACCATACAGTCATTAAGTCTTTTTAAAAAATGTAGATGATGTTTCATGTTTCACTCAAAGTATCTGAGGGACAAAAAAAGAAGTAATAAAAGTATTAAGCCCGATGGCCGAAAAAAAACCAGGACTAAAGTAACAGTTAAGCCTTCTGGAGTTTATACTGTCAGCAAAACAAAGAAAGGAGGACAATCTTCCCTGGAGAGAAAAACATATTTCTCCATGTGCAAAATATGAACTGTTCAATGAATCATTTTTTAAAAAATTATCAGTGGAAAAACATTCGTGCAAGAATTTATTTTGCATGTTGATCTGAGGACAGCACCAACCGACTAGAACAGTGATGGCTAACCTTTTACGGACTGAGTGGCCAAAGCGCAAGCACAGGATCGAATGCATGTGGACGCTTGAACCCCCAAAATGCAATGCGCGTGTGGCCCCGTCCATATGTCCCGCCCCCCACACATGCATAGCCCCTGCATGTGCCCCACCTATGCATGCACAAGTGGCCCCCCCATGCACCCCTCCCCCCCACACCCACCGCACCCCACGCATGCGCAGCAGAGACCTGACCAGCTGGCCGGTGGGAGGCGTACACCATGTGCTGAACTGGGGCGACGGCTCATGTGCTGCGTGCCACACCTGTGGCATGTGTGCCATAGGTTCGCCATCACGGGACTAGAAACTCATCGGCTTTCCCCAGTTGTCATCCAAAACTGAGTTGGACTTGGAAATTGCCAGAATTCTTATCCAGCATGGGTGCTGCCCTCCCACAAATATGGAGGGTGCCAAACGAAGGTAAACTGATCTAGATCCTTAAAATCCAGAAGCAAAGACCTCAATGCATTGTAAGCCGCCCTGAGTCTCCGGAGAAGGACAGCATATAAATCGAACAAATAAACAAATAAACAAATAAACAAATAAACAAATAAACAAATAAACAAACAAATAAATAAATAAATAAATAAATAAATAAATAAATAAATAAATCAGTGCAAAGAGAAAACTTTATAAAATACTTCCCACTTTTTGCAACCTCTTCAATTTCCTTTCTTGGCTCTCCTTACTGAGCCAGCCCAGCCCAGCCCAGCCCAAGCTGTGAACACACAGACATGGTGTTTAGGCTGCCAGAACATGTAGGAGGAATTCTGGTTCATACTGTATTGCAGCATGAAATGCTGACAAATCATAAATTTGTTCTCAGTCCTCCTGTACATTTTTCATCTGGGTATTTTGTATGCGCTCCAGCAAAGCACCCAGATGGGGGGGGGAAGGATCTGTGATGTACATTAAGGTAGGGCATTTCGTTTAAAACAGGTGCTAGGCACTTGGGTTATCTGATGTCATTTGAGGCAAGTGTTAGTCACGATTAATATAAAACAAATAGTCCTCGACTCTATTACTCATCAAGCTGAGCAGCTGGTCCTTTAAATCGAAAGCAACCATTTATGGAACCTGAAGGAAGCAGATTGGAACAAGTCTTCCTACAGAAAGTCTATCTATGTGGCTAGGAGTTGACACTATGATGCTGTATAATCATCACCCTTATGGAAATACACTGCTTGTCTTACATATGGATTGGACTGACATTGCCGCTTTGCTGGTAACATCAAGGGAAGCGAGGCTTAAACCCTTGAACCTGTTTTGTAAGAAAGCAGCATGAGCACACAGTCGTGAAATCCAATTTTTTTTTACTACCGGTTCTGTGGGCGTGGCTTGGTGGGCGTGGCAGAGGAAGGATACTGTAAAATCTCCATTCCCACCCCACTCCTGGGGGAAGGGTACTGCAAAATCTCCATTCCCACCCCACTCCAGGGGAAGGATATTGCAAAAACTCCATTCCCACCCCACTCCTGGGGGAAGGATACTGCAAAATCTCCATTCCCACCCCACTCCAGGGAAAGGATACTGCAAAAATCTCCATTCCCACCCCACTCCAGGGGAAAGATACTGCAAAATCCCCATTCCCTCCCCACTCCTGGGGGAAGATTATTGCAAAATCTCCATTCCCACCCCACTCTTGGACCGGCCAGAAGGCCAGCCAGAGGTGGTATTTGCCGGTTCTCCAAACTGCTCAAAATTTCCGCTACCGGTTCTCCAGAACCTGTCAGAACCTGCTGGATTTTACCCCTGTGAGCACGGTATAGAAAGAATACAAATTGCTCTTTTTCCTTACATTAAAAAGAACAGGAAAACAAGATTTCTTTGTGAATAAGATACAATTATCACTTTTACTAGCAAACAGGTCTAGAAAATTAGATGTCTAAAAAAGGTTGTAATAGCCAGGTTAATTTTTAAACTTTAAATGTGAACAACTTGTTCATTAAAACTTCTGGATGGATAAAGAAGTAGTGGGTGTGAACAAAGGTCAGAATTGCTAGGAAGAGAGTTATGCTACTTCCACCAAAAAGAAAAAGCCTGCTGTTTCCATATTATGTGCTCTTTGACAATTAAGAGTAATGGTTTAATTTGTTCTTGTTGTTCTGGTCTGGTTGTCTTTCATGTTAATGCATCCGTCTGCCTTCTTGCAACCTGTATCTACTGTTAAGATTCATACTGGATATGTGCCCTGTGCTTTGTTCTTGATTTGAGTCTTTCCATGCACACATCCACACCCATATAAAAACTCCAGTTGCACTCACCATTTCAAAGACTGCAAATGGCCATTTTCTAAGCCATGTAATTTTACACAGAAATTGTCCATTTCTACCATATCTAAAAATTTTCTGTAAAATTATATGGCTTAGGAAAATGGCCACTTGCAGTCTTTTAAATTTTACATGTCTACGCAAAATTAATTTTCTACGTAAAATTACATGAAAGTCTAGCTGAGCTGGGTGTTCACATCTTTGCAACTGCCACAATTTAGCTGTTAGGTTGGCGAAGCCACAGAAGATCTCCTTTCTGGCGGTGACAATATCAAACATCTTATAGCAATAACAATAGCACTTAGACTTATATACCGCTTAATAGTGCTTTACAGCCCTCTCTAAGCGGTTGAGTCAGCATATTGTCCCCAGCAATCTGGCTCCTCATTTTACTCACCTCGGAAGGATGGAAGGCTGAGTCAACCTTGAGCCTGGTGAGATTTGAACTGCCAAATTGCAGTCAGCCAGCAGTCAGCAGAAGAAGCCTGCAGTACTGCATTCTAACCACTGTGCCACCTCGGCTCTTATTGTAATCTTCTCCTTCAGCATCTCAGGAGTGTGATTTAATTCTCACCAGTCTTCAATGTCTGGAGGGCCGATGTATTTGAGTTTTGCCATCAAGCCCCACTGGGAGTCTAAGCTGGCTGGTGGTGGTCCTGTGGGAGAACCAACTATCAACCTGCAGCCTAGACAAGACGCTCAGAGGAGCGTAGCCATCTTGTCTTTGTTTGGTCCTGATGTCTGGCAGGGGAAAGCAGTAGCCATCTTACCTTCCTTAAGTCACCATGGAACTTGTGGATTCCAAAACAGCCGCAACAGGCACTTGGATGGCCATCTTGCCCTGGCAGTGGGGTTTTTGATCTGGCTTCCTGACCCTTAAGGCCATTTGCCATGGATTTCCAGACTGCAATCTTCTGTTCAGTTTGGGCTGGAGTTGATTTTAGTATGGTTTATGCCAGGGGTTCTCAAACTTTTTAAACAGGGGGCCAATTCATGGGACCTGGACCGGCTGGGTGGGTGTGGCTAGGCTGTCATGTGACTGGCGTGGCGTGGCCAATATAGCAGTCCATTAAACAATACACACAAATTAAACTTTAATTTGTTATGCTCCTGGGGATGGAAAACAGGTTAGTGAAGGGATGTGGCTGCCGTGTGTGTGTATATGTGTGTGTGTGTGGGACTTCTGTTGTTGTGTGTGTTGTGTGTGTGTCTTTCTCTCTCTCTCTTCTTC